ATTTCCCAAATAGCTGTCATTCAATAAAAATATAAATTCGGAACTCGAATAAAAGGGCAGTTTCTGGCTCACCCCCTTTCTGAAGAAAGAAAGACGAGACACACATTCTCAGTGCTTAGCCGGAAACGCGCTCCCCCGAGGTTCCAGCTAGAGCAAACGAAATAGGCAAACCATTTACCAAAACTTTTCCACAGTTTTGGGAAATAGTCGCACTCTGGTGTGCAGAGTTTTATATCTCCCTTCGCAGCACAAACCATCCCACTCGTTCACGTTTTTATCCGAGGGTCGATGTTTCTTATTTATTTTTTCCCCTAACGAGGTAAAAACTGAATGCTCGCTCCGACCTTACAAATAAAAAGAAAACTTTTTTTTTTTATTTTTTTGAATCGACAGGAAAGAACGACGAATGGGTTCTGTGCAATTAACTGAGTTTTTCAAAGTTCTTCCTTTTTTGTACCTTTTTAGTTTTTTAAAGCTTCATTCTTATTTTTTGCTTGCGTTTTTTGTCGGTTGCTTTTATTTATTCAATGGACCATTTTTTTATCAAATTTCTCTTATTCTCTGTTGGAATTTTTTTTTCCTTGTTATTTTATTCATATTTATGCTATACTTTCTTTTCGTTCTACCGAAAGTGAATGCATTTTGTAGTCAGTTCCCTAATTCAGGATATGTAGAAACATTATGAACGCCAATAATTAATTTCTATATTGCATTATGTCCTCAGTTGCAAATCTGTATGCTGCCACACTTGTAAGGTGAAATCGAATTAATGGCACGCAATCATGTATTTCTCTGATAAACCACCTTCCTTCATACATTGTTATTTTTTATCTCCTGCATAGATTCATAATAATCCTTATAAAACTTTTATAGGAGAGTGTTAATTACTAGTCCTATAAATAAACTTTTCTTTTCTTTCATTTTCACCAATGGCTAATGTATTAAATCATAGAACAGCGGTATTGTTTTCCAGTTTAATTCCAGGCAGTCTCAGTAACCTTTGTGTCTCCTTTCATAAATTGGACAAAGCGTAGCGTAAAAGTGTCAGCTTTCATTGGAAACTCTTTTTGAAAGAAAACCAACCCTTATTTCAGATTGTTCTTAAGTACTTAACAATCAATTACGAACATATTAGCCCAAAGGGTTATTAATTTCAAACCGGAATTTTGTGTCGATTCACTTTTCAAACTGCTGGCACCAAATATTATCGCACTGTATTATATTTAAAGAAACTAATTGATGAAGAATTTTCATGAATGTTTCTAGCACTGTGAAAAACAGCCCTACCTAGAGCCATCAAATTCTGAATAAGTAGTTCTCCAACAGAAATGGGCATTTGCAATTTTAAATTTCGAATTTGTTTCATTATCCACTTAAAATTTTGTAAACCTTTAAAGAATTTTTGTTTAATAAACTTGTAGAGACATTAGGTATTTTTTGGAAGCAGGAAAAATGAAAAATAGCAAACGCCTTCGCCAGGAATCGAACCACGGACTTCTGGATTACCGGCCCAGCGTGCAGAACCACTACACCAGGAAGACACGGTAGGAAAGCGGGAGAAATACCTTATTATACTCCCCTTTTTAAAGGGCGACTGGGGTTTTTAGGTTACCCAATCGTCAAATCTCGGGTGTGGAGAATCCTCATCCAACACTCTTTTAGTTCGGGCGCCACTGTGGAGACATTAGGTATTTTTTGGAAGCAGGAAAGATGAAAAATAGCAAACGCCTTCGCCGTGAATCGAACCACGGATCTCTGGGTACCGGCACAGCGTGCAGAACCACTACACCCCGAAGGCACGCTAGGAAAGCGGGAGAAATACCTTATAAACTCACCGATTTCAAAGCGAGCAATGGCAACAATTTGCGAAAAATAAAACATTTTTATCTCCAGCGCGCGAGACTGTGTATCGGAAATTTTGAAGATATGCTGTTTTTAAATATATTGTGATCTTACTGTCGAATAGAATTGTATGTGTATTAAGTGGGAAGAACATGATGTTTAACATGATGTTAAAACCGCCCTTTAGGCTTAATATAAAGTCTGAAAGCATTCATATTTTTTTTCAAGTCTTTATTTCAAATTAAAGGTTTGCAGTTTTATTAAAATTTCTAAAAATCAAATACTACTACTGCTACTCAAACTACTGCTAATATTACACTTTGTTTGGGATGCCTTTTTAAAACGTTTAATGCGTAGGATTATTTTGAAAAATTTTTAATTAAATATAATTTTTAATTGACTTTAATCTAAAATGCATTAGGCGAAAACACTTTTTTCTTCATTTTAAAAATTAGTTTTCTATTCGAGTTATTATTATTATTATTTTTTTTTTTCATTTCTTCCTTTGAGTTCATTTTCAACATGTGAATAAAATTTAGTTTCTTTGAAATGTCGTTTGATTGAAAGGAATATGACTCGAATTAACTTCTCGTAATGAATGCCAAATTTCGTAAAGAAGTAAGAAGCTCTAATTAGTAATTAGAAATACTTTTTTTCTCAATTCATGATTCATTGGATAATTAAAACATATCTCACGCATTTTGATACCAAAGGTAAAAGTTATGTTCATAAGCATAGACATTTCCTGAATCTGTGTAAGAAAAGTAATTGGAATTTAAGATGTGCTTTGAATGTACAAAATACGTGATAACGGTTTTGAATGCGTCTTGAATGTAATTTGCAGTACAGCTTTGGCAGGCTTTATTAAGATTGTTTTATTCTTCCTTTCAATGAATTCAGAAGTTACCCACAATATTTCTTTCGGATCTTTATTACATGTCATAGCTTTCCCAATAATGAAATATATTTCCGCGACATTACTAAAATAGTCACATTTCTGTTTAAAAGGGAACATTATTAGTTAGTATTTCAAATATATTTCTCCGTGTTTTGAATTTTACTGAGAGTTGAATTTAAATTTGTCTTCGTGTTTATAAGACATAAAAACCGAACTAAAGACCATTTTCATTTTTGAATAAGAGATTCTTTTAAGGAAATAATTCTTATTAATAATAAACTAAGCCTAAATACGTAACAGTTTATACTTTTTTACGTTGCTGCCATATTGCAATTGTAGAGAGACATTCATATGAATTACACTTATATTAGCACATAACATAGAAAAATAAACTTCACTATGTGTAGTGATACATTAACCTCGTAACATTTATGTTACTTAATGAAGTTATAAGATATTTTCTCTCTTCTTTCAGCATGCCTTCGTGGTGTATCGGTTAGCACACTCGGCGCGTATTCGAGGACTCTAGATTCGAGTCTCGGAAAGGACGTTTCTCATTTTTCATGTCTCCTTCTTCAAAATAAACCTAATAACTCTACAGTGGCGACCCAACTAATAAAGGTGGTGGATGATGATTCTTCACCACCAGGATTTGGCGATTGGGTCCTCTAATTCCCAGTCTCCCTTTCCCTCTTTTCAGCGTGTCTACGCGGTGTAGCGGGTAGCACACTCGGCGCGTATTCGCGAGGTGCAGGTTCGAGTAGTGGCGAGAGCATTGCTCATTTTTCATAACTCTTGCTTCAAAATCCTAAAGACTCTACAGACTTAACCTATAACTTTGCTATATTTCATGTAGTGCTAGTTGACATTATTCGTAATATTTTAACATCACTACTTTCATATAGTTAAATATATATGTTATTGTTTGCATATAAAGATATAGCATGTAAAGTCTACATTACATAATGAAGACCTGTTGTTTTTATAAGTCTTTCGATGATGTTCTAGTAAAGGTTATCTTCTTTTAACAGATTTACACTAATTCTAAATTTAGGATTTTCGCGAATTAGATTTCTTATTTAAAAATTTCCTTACAGATTTTCACTTCTCCTTCTATTCTAGTTACAGTTCATCTAACAGAAGTAAAGTATTTGATGTGTTCTTATTAGCCGAAAAGGTGTATAAGTCTCGAAAAAGCATTTTGCGCCGAATCACTAAAAGCGTTGAATCCCTTTACAAATTGTTGCCATCAAATATTATCGCCATGTATTATATTTACAGATATTAAATACTGAAGAATCTGCATGAAAGCACGTAAATTTCTCGCAATGTGAAAAAACAAAAGTACATAGAGCTATCAAATTTTGAAAAGCGTAATCTCCATCTCAAACGTGCGCACTTGGAAGCCCGAATTTTGAATTTCGAACATGTTTTATTCTTTCTTCCATGTTTCGTGAAATCGAATTTTTGATCAAGGCACTCAATAGTTTCAAATCGAGCAGTGGCAACACTGTACGAAATAAAACATTTTTATCTCCAGCGCACGAGATTGTATATCGGAAATTCTAAAGATATGCTGCTTTTAATATTTTCTGATTTTGCTGTTAAATCGAATTTTATAGGCCGTAAGCTCCAAGAAATTGTATTTAATAAATAAAGTAAACACACAAAACCTTAATAATGAAAAGAAAAGAAAGGCCAAAACTCTCCAAACGCCATTTTGCGTCGAATTCCTAAAAGCCATGAATCACTTTTCATATTGTTGCCACCAAATGTCCTGTATTATATTTTAAAAAAATTAAATCACGAAGAATCTGGATTAATATATTATGTTTCTCGCATTGTGAAAATCTAACGTTACCTAGAGCCTCACATTCTGAATAACGTAGCCCTCAACCCAAATATGGACACACGGAAGCCCGAATTTGGAACTTGGAATTTGTTTTATTATCTACTTCATATTTTGTAAACTTTTAATGAATTTTTGATTAAGAAACTCAACGATTTTAAATGTTTTACTTCGGCAGTGGCAACACTTCCCGAAGTAAAACATTTTTATCTGCAGCGCACGAGTCTATGTATATAAAATTCTAAAGATATGCTGTTTTTATGTATTTTTAGCCCAAATACTGTCGAAATGTGTATGTGTGTGTGAATGAAAAAAAATGCCCCTCTGGACGTAATATAAAATCTGAATTCTTTTAGAATTTTTATGCCTTTTGTTTTTTAAGTTAATGACATTTTATATATTCCATTATAGTTTGTAGTATGGTAACACTGAGGAAGCCGATCAGCTCCTCCATATTGCCTATTGATCTCCGCTTTTACGGGAGGAGGAGGTTTCAAATTCCTTAATTCTGAAATTTCAGGTATGCATTCTTCTGTTGTTGCATTAAGCTAGTGTTTTCTAACAATTATGCCAGTCTTGTTATTCTATTCCTTCATTTTGTCATTAAAGACATTCTCCCTCCTTTCTGCATGCCTTCGTGGTGTAACAGTATAACACTCAACTCGTATTCGAGAGGTTCAGGTTCGAGACCCGGTGAGGGCATAGCTCTTTTTTTTTTTTTTTTTTTTTTTCTTCTTGTCTCCTGTTTCAAAACAACCTAACGACTCTACAGTGGCAGCCGAATTAAAAGGTGTTGTATGATGATTCCTCACCACTAGGATTTGACTATTGGTCCTCTAATCATCAGTCGCCTTTTAAAAGGGAGAGTATATAAGATATTTTCTCCCTCCTTTCTGTATACCTTCGTGATTTAGCCATACTCGACGCGTATTCGAAAGGTCCAAGTTCGAGTACCGGCAAGCGCATTTTTCATTTGTCATGTCTCCTGCTTCTAAAAAATCCTTACGACTCTATAATCTTCATGTCGTAACTCTCGTCTTTGGAAACGGTTCCGTTATTTCTTCTGTCCAATATACTGCCCTTCATACTATCCCGTGCTTTTTAAACGGAAAGGCACTACTTTTCATCGTCTGTTTCCGTGAGAATTTCCACAAGCTTTCAACACAGCCGCTGTGATTTTTAATACACCGGCATGAGGTAAGGTTTATAATGAGCATGAACTTTATCAGGCTTATTAGAAATGTTTGATAACTTTCCAGTTATCCGAGTACACTGGAAATCCCGACGCGTTTTGAAATAAATCGGATTTTCAGTTAGTTTATTAAAAAAACCTTACGTTTAAATTATTTCAAAAGATGACACTTTGGTGTTGTCTCATACGTCTTGTAACTGAAAGCAGTTGACTAGCAGTAGTGGAAAATGATATGTCGTAAAATTACCCATAATTTAAAAAGAAATTTAGATCATTATTCGAAAAATGGGCACAAACACTACAGCAATTTGCGCAACAAAATATTTTATGAAAAACAAAATTTGTCAAAATGAATATCACGTCACGTTTAGAAGATATAACGTACCTAAATTGCTAAGAAGACAGATGCGCCATTTAAAAACTCTCTAAAAGTTCCATCCTGCACAAGCAAGATTTAGCTCAGCTTTTTGTCACACCACTTTAACGCCTCAAGGAAAAAAGAAAAAAAAAGTAAAAAAAAAAAAGAGAGGAGCCATATAAATTGCTTCCTGAAAGATAATCGATACTTATGATTCACTTCTCTAGTGGACAAGGTATACCTTTTCGGCAAGGTGCTAAATTCTACTCTAAAGTGACAGGAGAAAAATCAAATGGGACTTCTTTATCCTTCTGTATTTGATCGTTTGGAATTACTTTTGAGAATTTATAATATATTTCGTAATAAGAAGAGGACGTGTTCTAAATTGAATATCTTTCCTTTTATTTATATTTATCAATTTTACAAGAATTAATTTTATTCTCCTTCTCTTGTTATTTAAGTGTCTTATTGTTTTCCCTTTTTTAAATATAAAAAAATGTATACATTAAACTATTTTTTGGTTTCAGTTTTATTCGTGCAGTGTGTTTAAGATGCCAAGGAAAAACGCAGAACGAAGAAACATTTACATTTTAATTGAAAGAGCCGTTGGTGACTAATTACCTCTCGTGAATGTACTTTCATGGAAAACGAAGGCACTTTTTTTCAATAAGCATTCGTTTTTTCATTTCTGTAATTGCTTTTTTTTAATGTGTCAAATATTTGAATTTTTATGTTTACGTGATTATTTTCACCCTTAATACAGGTACTCTGTTATTATTTATATGTGTAATTATTTTTTTACATTAAAATTCAAATGCATTCCGTAAATTAAGCATTCACATGACTCATTAACACTCAAAGCGCATTACATAAATGATAATTTCTTGAATATTTCTGGCCCAAAATGAGATAAAATATTTATATTTTAAGGTCTAAATAAAATTCAAGAATAGCAGTTTTTAATGAGAATATGAAGTCAAATTCAAATTTGAAATTTAAAAGTTTTTTACAATAAAGAATTAGTAAGCATCTACTACTTAAGAGGGAACTTAAGAACAGTTTTTTTCTAAACTATCATAGCCTGTTCCGAGCATTAAAAAAATTTAAAATGGAAAATGAAGTTTACGGACGTAAGTGAATCTCAGAACGTTAACCATTACAGTTTTTAATATTTAATATTTTTGCATGCGTTTGGATTCGTAATAGACTGAATGCAGAAGTCCAATAATATGTTAGTAAAACATTTATTTTTATCAAGAGAAATATTTCAGAGCGCTTGAATCTGTCACAGAAGTATTCGTACAAGTGTTCACAGTATCACACAGTATAATCAGTATTTACACTTCAACCTACTAAGAGCGTTAATCACAACGCAATGCGAAGCTCGTCTAAAAGAAAAGCTAACTCGGATTTATCGCATTTCACGGGGAACTACACCTCACAACAACAGTAACTAAGCAACTAAATTCAGAAGCTGTCTCTCTCTCCTTGCTTTTATAATTTTCAACTGGCCGCCGAGATACTTCTAGTACTTTCTGCTTCTCGAAATTACTGGAAAGCAGTCAGAGTGTGGGATTACGGTTAGAGCTAAGATAGCGGTCAATTACTTTTATTCAAGTTCAATGAATATTACCGTGATTCAGGGGCCGTACCCAAAAGTCGCCAAATAGTCTCTAAATTTGGCCATTTCTTGCCTAATATGGAAACAAAATAAGTCTCTAAAACCCTTGTCAGCTTGGCGATAACTGGCCAGATTACAGATATACCCATTTGCTCAATGTTAAATGCACTTGCCCCTGTATTTTTACTTTCCCGGAATAAATTTCTTTTAAAAATTTGTTTTGCGTTATATTGCACAGAAAAATACAACAGTTTCACTTATAATTAAAATAAATTACCTATCTAAGAAAAAAAATTAGTAACAATATAAATATTAAATGACACTAAAAGCGTAAAAATTACAAAACATGCGTTTAATCCTAATTATTTGATATCAGTTGAATATTTTGAACAATTACACACCAATCACTGACGATTAGTCTATTAATCTAAGGATTTAAAGGACCGATTTCCTTGAAGTGAAAAAGTTTCCAGAACGAAATTTTTTAAAGCAACACTAATACATTCGTTCTGTTAAGAAATCAACACCAGAAACTTCACATATCTCTCTGTGAGCCTCAGCCGCTTTTTTGCGTTTAGGAAAATAAAAACGTTAAATATGTCGAAAAGGTATATTTTTGCACCTCATCTTCAAATTGACTGTAAGCTAACAGCTTATAAGGTGTTTCTCCAGCCTTCCTAGCCTGCCTTCGTAGTGCAGTGGTTCTGCACGCTGGACCGGTAATCCAGAGGTCCGTGGTTCGATTCCCGGCGAAGGCGGTTGTTAATTTTTCATCTTCCCTGCTTCCAAAAAATACCTAATGTCTCTACAAGCTTAAGCAAAAGTTCACATAATTTATTTCTGTAGCAACCTCAAAGTGTCACCTGCAAATCTGAAATAAGATAAAAATATATTAAAAAAAAAAAAAAAAAAAAAAGTCTATAAGCTTTCAGATTTTACATTACTCCCAAAGGGACTTTTTTTTAACCTTTTGTATATTGCCTTTATTTATTAAATATCATGTTCTTCGCGCTTAAATCATAAAATTCAATTCAACAGCAATATCGCAAGATAATGTTTTTTTTGAAATGAGCATACTTTTTAGAATTTCTAATATACAGTCTCGCGCGCTGGAGATAATTTTTTTTTTCCGTACAGTGTTGCCATTGCTCGCTTCAATATGGTTGAGTTTGTTAATCAAAAATTCGTTAAAGTGTTACAAAATATGAAATCGATAATAAAACAAATTCAAAATTTCAAATTTGGGGCTACCAGGATACCCGTATTCGGTGCAGTAAGATTATGTTATTCAAATTTTGAATGGCTCTAGGTACCGTTTGTTTTATCGTAATGTGAGAAACGTGCATACATTTCATTCTCATGTTTCTTTTTAATATAACAGGCGAACATTGGTGCACAATTGAAAGAAACGTATTAAATTTCGTCAAATCCAAACAATTTTGCTTTTGGGAAAAGATAAGATTGACAAAAAAAAAACATAAGGCTATATGTAAAATTTTATCAACTTTGTACTATTAAAATTTTTTGATCATTAAATAGATAAGTGAAAGTTCACTTACCTTCTAAATAGGGCTGCCCTGAACTGCCTGCTTCTTTCCTTCTTGTCGGTATCCGTCTCTATGATGAACTTCGATTCACTGCGAAACACAGCTATAAACTTTTTTAAGAAATTTTAATTCGTATGAAAGATATCTACAAAATATTTACAAGTTATAATGATTACAAGCATAATTTATACGGAGACGTTATATATCTGTTAGACGGAGCATATCGTTATACATCTGTTAGACGCGTCAGCCGTTCAACTGACTACTTTTAGTATCTTTCGCCAGAGGGCGTCCGTGGAAGTAAAGTTCTAGTAAGCAAACGCGACACTCCCACCTTGAGATCCAGTATCAACAGAGGATGGACCTCAACTGACCTGTAGTTCAAGTCTTTTGAGATTTCGTCATACGTCGAGTTCTGTACCTCACTTGCATATCCGACTCAGGTGTAAAGTTGAGTTCAAGAGGTATGAGGTTCTTAGTAGGTCTTATAATCTCCCCTTGTGCAGTTTTCAGTTTCACTAATCTAATGTGTCCGTCGTGGGATGGAAAAATTTCCACGATTCTAGCTAAGGGCCAGTTTATCCTTTTTTCGTTGTTGGACACAATTACAAGATCACCAACTTTCACAGAAGATGGTTCGCGGATGAATTTTGAGCTTTGTTTTAGTTGCCCTAAATATTCTGATCGAAATCTTTTTCGTAAATCTTTTCTCAATTTGGCTCTGTAAAGGTATCTTTTATTGATGGATTTAGAATCCAAAAGATCTAATTCAGGAACTCCAGTCTCTGGAATTTCTGTTAGAAACATTGCTGGGGTGAGAGCTCTTAAATCCTTTACGTCTTCTGACAAATACGTGAGAGGACGGTTGTTCATAATGCTCTCGCAGTCACAAATGATTGTCAACAATTCTTCGTAGTTCAGAGAAGATTTTCCTAGTACCTTTCGAAGAATTCTCTTTAGTACTCCAATTAATCTTTCCCACCACCCTCCCCACCATGGCGAGGAAGGGGGAATAAATTTCCATTCAATTTTCTTAACTGTTGCATTTTCTAAGATAGAATTCCAATCTATGGTCTTAAACAAATTATTTGATCCAACAAAATTGGTTCCATTGTCAGAGTATACAGTGACAGGTCTACCCCTTCGAGCGATGAATCGCCTGAACGCGTGCAGGAAACTTTCGGTTGATAGAGATGAGACTAGCTCTAAGTGAACTGCTCTATATATTGCGCAAGTAAAAATGACGATCCATGTTTTTTGGCCTCCTTTTAAAATTAAGGGACCCGTCAGATCAACACCAATAATCTCAAAAATTAAAGCATCTCTTATTCTGTCTTCAGGTAGTGGCGCTTGAGGAATCTTATATGAATCAGAGTCGAACCTTCGACATCGTACACAGTTTTGGATAACCTTGCGTACGGTCTTCCTACTCTTTATGATCCAATATTTTTCACGCAAAGCGCACATAACGAATTGTACTCCAGCGTGACTTAGCCTTTCATGTTCAGATTTGATCAGTTTTAATACTAATGGATGTTCTGAGGGAAGTAAAACTGGGTAACGAAAGTCAGCATCATCGTCTCTCTGAAAGATACGTGTCTTCACTTTTATAAGGCCATTGGAGTCCATGATAGGTTCTAGAGCACGTATTCTTTTATCTTTCAATCCTTCGAAAGATTCTCGTTGGATGAGTCGGAAAACCACTGTTTCAGCTCCTTTTAGTTTCTTCGACTGAAATTCTCCCATGAGTTCTTTCAGATGGTGGTGTGTTGTAGCATTTTTAATGAATCTAAAGATCCAAGATACGACCTTTATGATCTTTTCGAATTTTGAAATATTGTCAAAAAGGTTAAATTTATCTGTATTCGTGTTATTGCTGGCTGAAACCACAGTTCGTTTTCTCTCTCCATTTACTATATCGAAGTCAGGATGTTCTCCATCTGCAATAGGCCACTCTTCTGGAGGTCGATAAATCCAATCTGGTCCTTTCCACCATTCGGATTTCCTCAATTCTTTTGCAGAGCAACCGCGTGATGGCAAATCCGAAGGATTAAACTTTCCGGGAATGTGATGCCAGTGATCTGGGTTACTCAATTTTCGAATCTCATTTACTCGATTGGCTACAAAAGTGGACCAATTTTCTTTCTGTTTTATCCAAAAGAGAGCATTTGTGGAATCCGTCCAGTAAAAAACTGGAACCTCTTTTAAGTTTCAAGTCTTCTCTTATTGTATGAGAGAGCTTGGCTCCAATAGTACAAGCGAGTATCTGTAGTCGAGGTATGGTGAGTACTTTTAAGGGAGCAATTCTCGCTTTAGATTGTATCAATTGACAAGTGACTCCACTCTCACCGCTGTGTCTAAAAAAATGCAGGTCTCATACGCGTCCTTGCTTGCGTCCGAAAAAACATACATAGTGGTACTTTCGTCTATTTTGGGAAGTAGTCTAGGAACTTTGATGTGTTTCAAATATTTTAACTGAGATGATCACGTGAAAAATTTCTTTGCTAGATCATTCGGCAGATTATTATCCCAGTTAATTTTCTGTTTCCAGCACTAACGCAGAATCAATTTAGGCATG